CACCAAAAAAAACTACAGATAGTTTGAACTACATAGTTTCCTATTTTTTAAAAGTGAGTATCACCAGCCAAACCACTCTTATAAAATCCAGCTGGACTTATCAGGAAGTCTGATTCTTTGCCAATTAATCCAACTGTGTCAGTCATTATACCATGGCAGAGTTTTTTCAGAGGCCCTAGAAGCTGTAGAAAGGATAGGCTTTTTCCCTGCTGTTAACATTTTGGGCTTCGTTCTCTCTTTATTTTTTATATTTTGCCACCTCCCCTTTCCATTTTCATATCAATACCAGTGGCTTCCTCTCATACTAATACTCAAGTTGCACACTGCTTGTACAGCTACCCATCTACCAAAACAGATAATGAGCAACAGATTTAATGAAATTACTAAAAACTTTCAGATGCTATTTATTTGGAAAATGTATAGGCTGCTAGACATTTGCAAATATCATACAATACTTCAATGCAAAATATCACACAACAATAAAAAATACAAGAAACAAAGCAGATAAAAGCAGTTTTTCAAAATAAATCTGATGGTGCCCATTAATTACAGGAATGACAGACCTGCTCTTCCACAACACTTCAATCATTTTCTTACTATAATGCCCAAAGGGGAGGTGCATCTAAGCAAATATGTTGGGAATGTGCATCTGGAAGCTGTGGTCCTTGAAACCTTTAGACATGAACATTCTGTATTTTTGTACATCATCTTCCCTGCAGTCATTAAGAGGAAAGGAATAGTCATTGTGCTATGGAAATGCAAGAACCCTATGAAATATCTAATTAATTGAGTTCAAAAATTGGCAAGTATACAGCCAGTGACATCTCTAAAAAGGAGATCTTGATTCTTTTATTTTTATGTAAGCAATTTATATACTGCTTAACTTCTCTAAGCCACTCTTCAACACATTCAGCAGTAGTCACTGATAACAGGGTAGGCAGCTCAGTGATAAGGCATGATAGTACTCTCTTCAGACATTGTTAATTAGGGAGAAGTTAACATTTATTTATTTAAATATTTATAGGATGCACTTTCTTATAAAATATCACAAGGTGGTAGACAACCTAAAAAGACAATCATGTGAAAATTATGTAAAAGGTGCATTGGTGATGTCCTATCTTCACCTCCCTCATCACCATTCAACACTCTCCAACACCTTGGAGGGCAACCTTGGGAAGCAGGCTATCTTTTGTACAGTGGTACCTCGGGTTAAGAACTTAATTCATTCTGGAGGTCTGTTCTTAACCTGAAACTGTTCTTAACCTGAAGCACCACTTTAGCTAATGGGGCCCCTGCTGCCGCTGCGCCACCGCTGCATGATTTCTGTTCTCATCCTGAAGCAAAATTCTTAACCCGAGGTAATATTTCTGGGTTAGCAGAGTCTGTAACCTGAAACGTATGTAACCTGAGGTACCACTGTACTCATAAAAGCCCCTGTGCATTTTGAAAATCCAACTTTCCAGTGCTTTACTGCACACACAAAGGAAGCTTCCACAAGTACTCTCTGCTTTATGAAGTTGCCCTCCACATATTGGATGATATATATTTTTTTTGATGGGAGGGAAGTGAGGTAAAGGGACCCCTGAACGTTAGGTCCAGTCGCTACCCTGCTAATCCCTATTCCCCCTTTGTATGCCGCTTCTCTTCAGATGTTACTAATTAGGAGTAAGCTATCAACCATAGCTGGATTCACACATTAGCCTAACTGCCAGTCTGCCACAAGGTATTTGGTGGTGTCTGGCATTGGACCATACCTAAGAAATGATAGACAGGCAGGGCCAATGCTGTAAAAATACAGCATATAAGCTGCATATGCTGTACATATAAGCACATAGCTAAAAGATCTAATTGAAACTCCTACCCCATAACAGGACCATTTATATGCAGTCTGCAGCCTCCTTCCCACCAATCCACTAACAGCAACAGGTGATTAGATCACATTTGGCAAAGTAATGAATTATATAAACTTCCTCAGGATAGCTCCAGATCTCTTTAACTACTAGAGGCAACAAAGGATTGCTCATCCCATGTTCACATATTTTCACATATTCTTATTACAACAAATGATGCAGAGTAGCAAACTGAAGAACACCAGGATGGAATTGAACATGCCTGGCTGCCCCTTGACTAAAATGGTACCTACATGCAATCAAGAAAATAGGCACAAATACAGACTTATGGAAAGTAGGCCATCCAAAAGAATAACCAAAGGTCCAGGCTACTAAAGACAGAATCCCTTTACCATATGTGTAATATTAGTCTGTCAAAGCAACAAAGACCATAAAAATTTAAGAGATCTTTTCACTTTTTACTGGAGCATCAGGAATGATTGCTCGACACCAGTAGCATAGACGATCTTCATTGACTCTCCTGCTGCCCAAAGTACAGTTTAGGAAATACCCCTTCCCCCCAACCCTCTGTGCCTAGAATAGCATACCCTCCCACAACACAGAACCGCTCGTCGTCCACAACGTGACCCTTCTCTCCCCAGTTCTTTTGCAGCGACCAAGTACCAGGGCTGTGAGCATCCCCTGCCCCCCCCCCAAACCCCGCTGTCTGAACATGCCTCCGAAAGCAAAACCGCAAAAGACGCCTCTGGACTCCCCCTTTCGCGGACCTCCAGTTTAAACAGACCAGGAGATAGAAGCACACACTGCAACCGCAGTACCTTCTCGGGCGGTTCCCTGCAGGCTGCGCCAGCCCGACCCGCTTCTTCCGCCTCCTTCCTAGGACCCGCCGCGTCTACGGGGCTCCGGACGGGCTGCTCCATCCTCCTGGGGACCTGAAGAGCCGAGGGCCCCGCTTTGTCCCCCCGGGAGCGGCCCTTCCTCATGATGGGCGGCGGCGGCGGCACTTGCTCAGCGCGGGGGCTCGCAGCCTAAGCAGCCGGCCATGGCTGCGGAGGAGGGCGGCGGGGTTGGCGCTGGGAAGCACCTCAGGCAGCGCAATCTGCCTCCCGCGCGGACATCCCCACTCTCCTGCCAGAGGCGAGCACGCCGGGCACTGCGGCAATCCCGCCCCCTCAGCCACGTATCGCGAGAGGTGGGGCCACCGGCGCGCGAGGGCGTTCTAAGGGGCCGGCGGCGCGTCGGAGACGAAGAAGCGAAGTTCGGCGCGAGGTGGGAGGAGCCACACGGCAGGGGGCGGGGAGACGGAAAGGCGAGGGAAGACGCGTCGCGGAACAGCTTGGAAGGCGAGGGGCGGGGGCGGCGCGCAATGCATGATGGGGTACATGGAGCAGTGCTGTATAAGTGCAAGGCGGCGCAGAAGCCTTTTCGGTGTGCGGCTCCGTAATGGTGCAGAATGATCCATCATCCTGGAGCATCCCCTTGCCCAGCTCCACTTGCCTTCCCCAGAAGGGCAACCCTGCTAAAGAGGGGTGCCCCCAGGTGCCTGGCTAAATGGTGGTAGCTAATTGGTCTTAAATCCAATTCGAATCTGGATTACTTCACTGGTTATAAATTATGGAAATAATGATGGGCAGCCTGTTAACATTTCCCAACTGATATTTGTGACTTCAGCAGCTATATACAGAGTGCTATCGGTGTTTATGCTGCTTTATTAAGATGACATGTTGCCTGTTTCTGATACAACAGCTGGCTTTTGGCCATTGAGCACTGGTGCCAATCTTGTCACAAAGGTACATCCAGAAAGACTCCATTCCCTAGACTATTAAGTACATTTTTAAATGTTATATGAAAAGGCAAAGCACTCTAGATTCAGAACAGATTACAGCAGCTTTACTTTGTTCCATATCACTGCCCACTCTGGCCACTCATAAACATGCAATTTGTAACTTTAAATAGGAAATAAGCCCAATTGAACTTTCAGCGTGGCTTACTAGTACCAAGTAAACATACTCATAGAATTGTGGAGTTGGACCATCTAGTCCAACCCCTTGCAATGCAGAAATCTCAACTAAAGCATCAATGGCATGATATGGCCATACATATCTGGAGTTAAATAAAAACTGAGTTTCTAGGAGGGAAGTGAAACTCCCTTATTTTCCCTGTACTGTAATGTAGCTATATTTAAATGGAAATCTAATAAAAATTGCAGTGATTTTCACAAGGTACAAACTGCTGCCGGAAGGTAGATACTACCAAAGTTCCTTTCATTGACCTCCTGTTGGAGCAATATGATTGTCAGGAACTCAAGCTTAAGCACTATAACCAAGCATTGGCTCCTTTAGAAGCTTCAGGATCCGACTCAGTGCCTCTTTATGCTCTTCCAGATTTGTCATCCTTTTGAATCAGGCTGTTCTCCCCAAGCATGGGGCAAAACAAAGAGCAGCTATGAAATCTTATATTGTGTCCTTGCATAATTGCCTTCTATTTAAATTATTTGGACACCATGTTTTGCTCTTGTGTAGCTCAAAGTCTCTTGGATTTGGTTTTTTTTCTGGAATGACACACACACACACACACACACATATTCTAAAACTTAAAAGCTAAGCAAAACAATCCATCAGATATTAGGAAGCAGTGCTTCCCTGCCAAATGTTAGCAGCTTGACCTGGTTTTTAAAGTCATCTTAACTTGTAGTTCGTCAGGGCACAGTGATGAAATTGGACTCTACTTTAATTCTAATGTTTGAAATGGGTTTCCAGGGCAAACATTTGCAAGCTCTTAGAATCTTGGGCAGCTTTACCTTTCAGAAAAACTGGAACTTAAATTCAAGCAGACTTTTTAAAAACTAAAATGAGCAGTGCAATGGTCAAATGCTATTGACAGGTAGTTATAATTATTAATACACTTAATAATAATATCCAGGATGGTGGCGGGGGGGCGGAGCTAGGAAAGATTCACCATCTGGAATCCTGGAAAGCTACTGCCAGTCACTCCAGATGAATTGGATGTATCAGACAGCTTCCCATAACAGGCCTGCATAACTTGAGTCAAGAGCAGACTACCATTGGCTTGATAAATCTCCTGGTTTTGCTGTCTGGCTAGGGCTGCAAAATCAGGCTTTTAGCATCCATATGTTTAAAAAGGGTGTGTGTGTTCTTAAGCATCTGTCAAGGCAAAAAACTGACTTAAAATATGTTTATGCTGTTTTTCCACAAGCTCAAAGCAGCACAAGTGAGGAATAAACATCACTTAAATCAAACAATGAAACCCCCCAAAAATCATACAATGAAGCCTATACAAAATAACAAAAAATAATAATGGCACCCATTGACTTCCAACTTACTCAATGAATCGCATAGCCCTTGACCAGACATGCCAAAAATTAGCTAGGCATTCCATGGCCTCAGTATCGCTTCTATAAAGGCCCTGCTCTAACTTCTTAGGTTAATGTGTCGTACAATATGGCCTAGCTGCTTCTGAGCCTTGAACTTCAATTTATCTTCCCTGAGCAGCATTGGGTCACATTGTGCAATCTGTTCTAGAGTCTTCTGGCAGACTACTGTTGGAGACAGGATCCTAAACTATGCCTAAACTAAGTTATTATGCCTTTGCTTCAACTGACCCCGAGATAAGTCTGTTAGCTTTGCAAAGGGTCAGGGAACTTTTCTTGGCAAACAAACTATGGGTTACTGCTGACGGGCAATGCATATAGAGAGAGAGGAAAGAAAGAGCAGCAGCATTTTGTGTTCCAGCCTATCTCGGAGACGAAAGAAGCAAAAGAGGTGTGTTATGCCCTACATTTATTTCTGAAAATTTCATGGAGCTTGCTCTCCACCCTCCCCAGATTCTTTGATCATAATGTACTATTTCCATACAGGGCTATTAAAAAGACAACGGCAACGAGAATATGCTAAGGTTTTCAGTGCTCCTGTTCTTCGCTATCTCGGCAGTGTCAATCAGTGGAAAGAGGCAATGTCTGGAAGGAGCAGCTCACAAGCAAAGACCCAGCCAGGAGAATAACTTGCACGAATGCACCCTATATTCCAAATGTAAGTCCCGTGAAATCTGTGAAATATTTGCAAAACTATTTAAGTTAGCCTTTACATTAACTAACCAGCTCTGATGCCACCCATATTAATTTGATGCCCTGAAGAATTTATTAAAGTTAAGTTTTGATATTGATATATCAATATATAACCAATATATCCAACAGCACAAGAAAAGTCAGCTGCCCAATTGGTTATTTGCATCAATTGGATTTTAGTGAATGTGTGTGTTTTGGCCCACATGTTGAAATCTTATTATCGCTTGCTCCAGGAATGATGTTAGGTTGTTGTAATTAACAATGTGTGATATCCTGTTTATGCCTGAGCTTTATGCATCAGGGTTTTGCTTCTAAATGGGGCATGCACTGGGTGGAGTGGGGTAAGAACTGTCTTTATGAATTTGTCAGTATCAACAATTTCGGCTTATGTTCATGATTTCCAAAGGTTCCCCCCAAGTCTTTTTTTTAATATAGAGATGATAAGTGAACTGAAGGAATGAAGCTCACATTCTTTTGCATGAAAATAAATCTGTATTACTGTATAATCTTAAATCTGTATAATGTTAAATTATCATTTCCAATATCAAATTTGAGTTTGAAATATTTAATTAATATATTTCCTTTGTAAATTCCCAGTATTATTTTGGTTTTAAAACATGTTTTTAGTAGCATGTTTTTCATTTTACAAAAGCACATGAAAAATAATGACGGAACTCACTTCCCGTTTTTAACTAAGGGTCCACTGTGGGGACTTAACAAAATTCTATGTCTTCAAAGTTGTGATTATGTTACAAAGTAAACCTTCAGAATGAGATACATTTGTTTTTAATTCCCCACAGCCTCCTGTTGCTCTGAAGACATTACAAAGGAACTAGCTGATTCACCAGTGATTAAAGTAAATACCACCTATTGGAACCGATGTGGCAATAACAGTAAATTGTAAGTGACTTGCCCTTGTTCTTTTTCTCCAAGTGCATTCAGATTTTTTCCTTCATTCAAGGATTCTTGTTTGCCAACAGTCACCAGCATAACTTTGTGAAAAGCACAGTATAAGGCTGCTGCCCTTTTTTTTTTTGGTATGGCATGTGTACCTTTAACAGTAGCATTGCATGCAGAAATTCATTGGGTTCAGTTACGCGTTTCATGAAAGTGCAGTTGTTGAACAGTTGAACACAGGAGCCATTGCAGAAAAAAATTTGGAAACCCTCCTTCCATATATCAGAAGCATCCTCTCTTTTTTGACTCAACATTTACATTTAATTGACTTTAATATATTGTATTATCAGTGCACAGCAGGTATACACAGGGGAAGAGTTTATTGTATGCATTTTAAAATTTAAAACGATACATAAAAGTAAAGGCTCACTGCAGAATAAAAAGCATTTTTGCATCAAAGCTATTTGTTTTTGTAGAGTACATGGTTCACAACTACCCCCATCATCCTATCAAACTCAGAGCGGCATTCAGCTAAATTTTAATCAGAACAGATCTATTAAAACTAATAAGTATGACTAAGTTAGGTCATTAATTAAGTGAGCCTATTTTGAGTAAAACTCATTATTTAAGTAAAACCTATTCTTCAAATGTGGACCCTTGTGTAGACAAAATGTTACTATCCATGCACCAGAGGGAAATATTTAGAGGCTTGGGGATCCCTGAAGTTTGCAAAAGTTCAATAGCTCTTAGGAATGTTGACCAACTATTGTTTGGGATGGAGGTTTGAAAACTGAGGGGGAAGGTGAAATGGAATAGAGTATCCTGGGAAAGGACAAAGCTGGCTGGCTGAAACCCTAAGTAGGAACACTGAACACTGCAAGACTGTTGGAAATAATACTTGCCTGATAAGGCACAATGGCAGAATCGCCATAGAAGTGGAACAGATGCCTGTGGATAGTATGTGTTCCATAACCAAATAAGTTCTATTACAGAGTGTCTGAGCATTTAAGTGGAGGAAGTCAAAGGTGTTAGGATAAAGTAATAGCACATTATTCTCCTGTGTATTGTATACCATAAATACATGCAGGTCTTGAAATATGTGAGTGCAAGGGGCTGAACGGCAGAACTCTAATTTTATTGTAAACCGCTTTGAGATTTTTTTCTTTAAACTATAAAGCGGTATAGAAATGAAATGAATAATAAAAATAATAAATAATTTTGCCTTGGTACCCTAGCCTAGCCTAAAGTGTTGCATTCCAATAAAGTTCTTTGGAAAAATGCAGGCTGATCTCTTAGATCTCAGCCTAGGACCCTCATACCTGCGGGACCGCCTCTCCCGGTATGCCCCACGGAGAGCCTCAGGGTCCATAAATAGCAACACCCTAGTGGTCCCAGGCCCTAAGGAAGTTAGATTAGCCTCAACCAGAGCCAGGGCCTTTTCAACACTGGCTCCAGCCTGGTGGAACGCTCTGCCTCATGAGACCAGGGGCCCTGCAGGATCTGATTTCTTTCCGCAAGGCCTGTAAGACAGAGTTGTTCCGCCTGGCCTTTGGCTTGGAGCCAATTTGATTCCCCCCCCCTTTCTTTTTCCTTTCTCCTCCTGTGATGAGGCTGCATTTTAATATTTTAATGTTTCAATATTTTAATGTTTTATTTTAATCTTGTTTTTAAGTTGTATTCATTCAACTTGTTTTTATTATTGCTTGTTAGCCGCCCTGAGCCCGGCCTTGGCTGGAGAGGGCAGGGTATAAATATTATTATTATTATTATTATTATTATTAGAGCATAGAGGCAGCCACATATGCAATGCTAGTTGTTTTTCATGTAATAACAATGGTTATTTCTCATGCAACAGATGTCAGAGCTATTTGAAGAAGATAGAATGCTTTTACAGGTGTTCACCATATATTGCACATTGGGCACATCCCCACTACGCAGCTGCTATTGTGTCTGTTCCCATGTGCCAAAACTTCTGTGATGACTGGTAAGTTGGGGGTTATGCTTCTCATTTTAATAAAACAGTATCTTTCAGCCATAAAATGCCCAGGTAAACAGGGAAGTTATAAAATTCCTCTTGACAGTTAACAATTAGGGTGACAGACACACCTCAGTGTGGTTGATATTGAAGCAGGCACTCTTGATTCTTGGGTCCCAAGATATTTAGGGCTTTGTATGCTAGTACTAACACCTTGAATCGGGTATGCACAAAACCTTGCACTGACAGAACATTCACCTTAGCGCTATTTTGAACACAACCCTGACATTCCCACCACCCCATTACATCCCTGTGCCTGTTTTACAACATGCCCCTTATTTTAAGATAAAGGCAAACAATACAACACACATGCCAGTTCTACTGATGGACAACTTTATTCTACAACTCTTCAGCTCTGTAGAACTGATGACAAAATTCCTGAACATCTTGCAATAATCTAGAGAACCACACAACAAGCTCCACGTGTACAGTGGAGATTTGAACTTCTGTTTCTTGACAAGAAGCAGAGGTTGCTGATAGATAGACTTCTGTTCAAATAACAGAGTTACAGATCCCACGGGGCATGTTCAAGACCTTAGATGCAGCTTTCTGCATTGATGTCTGCTCTCTGGGGGTGGTGTTCATTTGAGCAGACTTGTTCCCAAATGCTAAAGTATTAGTAGTTCCTCACACTATGGACAATATATTGCACCTATCTCTGGCCACCATCTAATTCACTGAGGAACACTTTGAAAAGAGAGTGAGGAATAGTGAGCAGCACTTCTAACCCCGCTCTGGCACCCCAGATACCACTTATCCACAACACTTTAACCTCTAGGTTGACAACTGGGGGACCAAGTAGCAGTCTTCAAACTGCTGGATTTGACCTAGGGTGCTCAAGTTATTGACCCACAAATGCGTCTGCTTCAAGCTATATGCTGGGAAAGCTTTGAACAATGTTTCTACTTCTCCTGTATACCCAAGGTGGAATCTGCAGAACTCTTTTGTTATATAGACAGTAGAATCTGTTTAACATACTGCATGGCTGCTAAGGATATCCCCATTCCCCACATCCTACAGAGATCCTTATTTCAAAATCCTCTGTACCTTTGTTGTAAAGGGTAATTTTCACAGTGTTCAGAAGAAACAAGAACTTGACTTTAAGCGACATAAGGAATCTTACTTCAAGCTTTCCTCTTTCTTTCTAATGGCTTGGAATTTCCTGCACCAAAAGCTCATTTTTCAGTATATATGTGGACTTTGGAGAGCCCTTAGGGGTAGCTTCCCTTTCCAACCCACCTGCCAAAGAGTCCTTGGACAATTACAGAGGAAATGGTGAACTTGACACATTTAATAATTCTCAGCACTGACATAAGGATTTGTTTTAAATGAAAACAGATCTCTCTGGTGAATCATACTTTGGGAAAGTACATTGCTTTTGTGTTATTATTTCATTTCTTTGACACTGTACACCATATGGTTTTTCTCCAGATATCCTTTTCTCCATACTTTAAAGCTGGGTCATCATAAAGCACTTAAAAAAAAGTAAAAGCATAAAGCACTTTAAAAAAAGTAAAAGGCAAACCAAGTAATTGATAAAGTCTCTACTTTTCTACACTCTTATTTGGAAGTAAATCCAACTGAAATAAATGGGACTAACTTCTGAGTGTGAATGCATTCTAGTGGGCTGCAATCTAGTGACTATTTTATCATTTGTTGGCAACATGGAAGTAAGTTTGTCAGATCCAGTACAAGGTGGGCCTCCAGACTTTTCAATAGTTTGACCAGGCAGAGATTAAACAGAGCTTTTCCTGTCATAGTGCTAGAATGAAAGGAAAAGATGTGCTTGTGACATATCCCCCCCTGTACAGTAATTAAAGTAGTTCCCTGTTGGATCTGACGATCACAGCTGCAAAATAACCATCCTGGAAAGCCAATGCTCTTGAGAGCTCTTGAGAAGGGGAAGGAGCTGCAGAAGGAAGAGACAGCTGTGTGCATATCCTGCCCTGCCCAAGCCTTCAAAGAAGCACTGGGGAAAGGGGAAAGAGAAAGTGTGCTGCTAATTCACTATCCTGTCGCTCTGAGCTGGAAATGAAAGACAAGTCATTATATTACCTATGGTGAGGGCTGTGGAAGGGAGCAGGCGATTAGTCTCTGATGCTGTTCCCACTTGATAAAAGGATCAGGGACATGCTGCCTTCTCCTTTCCTTTAACCTTCTCTCCCTTTGTCTGTAATTGTTGAAATGTCCTTTAAAAAAACTGAGCTAGAATATTAATCAGAACAGGAGTTATATCATCCCTACTTGTATTGACAGTACATAGCCTTGAAGAGCAGAACTTTAAGCAATACAAAATTCAGCAATGACACACATGTCGCAAGCAATATTGCCAGGCTGCAACACGGAGAAGCAATAGAGACTTCTTTTGTCCTTTCCTTTGTTAGTCCTTTCACCTACTCTGCCCACCGCCAGCTCTCAAGAGCAGGCCATGCAGCAAGCCGTGGAGACACAGACAGGCCAAAGAAGAAATAAGTGTGGCAACTTATTTTCTTGCTTTCTCAGTGGCTTTAGAGAAAAGGTGGGGAAGCTGGAGTCCAACCACATCTGCCCTTGCTGGCTAGGCTGACGGGAGCTGGAGTTCAACAACTTCTGGAGGCCCACAGCTTCCCCATCTCTGCTTTAAAGCTGCAGTGTAAATTTCAAAGTCGTCACACAAGTCACATCTAAATAGCAAACCTGCTTTGAGAAGATGAACGTTCACCCTGGCATTAGCACATTATCGCAGGCACTGCTTATAGGCAGATTTTTATACCTGTAAGAAATTAAAACGTTACATTTAGGAGCTAATCTTAATTTCAAAATCTTACTACATCTGCTAAAAATTGCCCCAAAGAGTCAATTGAGATGCTCATAGGAGCCTGCAGCTCTTGGAGTTTCTATTATATTTATATATTTTCATGACCAGACAGGAATAATAAACTGAAGAGATGCCTTTATAGCATTTTAAACAATAGATTCTAGCAAACCATGATCTAAGGTAGTTTTTATGTCGCTGTCCCCTTTTAATTTGTAGTTCTTTAAGATTAATTTGTAATTAACCTCTTTAAACAATATTAATTTTAAAACTATTACCTTACTGACAGGAACTAATCTTTCCGCTAACCACATTAAAACTAAGGCATGCTTCTTATTTATAATATTAATGTGATTATACAAAATGGACTCTTTGATCCCTGTCAGAAGTTAGGGGGGTTGCTTGAGATTTGCCAAGGCAAACTTCTACAAGATACAGGCTAAAAAGGCTAGCAAAAGATTAAAGGAGGAGGGGAGCCAATGTTGCTAGTGCTATTATGACTCAAACATATTTTTTCATTAATTTCCATGGCAACATAACCATCATACAGTGTCAGCTTTTGAAAAAAACATGCTATAAAAGACACAGAATTTTAAAAGTGTGTTCATATCACGTCTTTATTTTTAAGCACAGATTGCATTCATATAAATGGTGTGACTAAAGCCAAATATGAACTTATTGACCTGGTATTTGTAAACTATTACAGTGGTACCTCGGGTTAAAGATGCTTCAGGTTACATACGTTTCAGGTTACAGACTCTGCTAACCCAGAAATAGTACCTCGGGTTAAGAAGTTTGCTTCAGGATGAGAACAGAAATCGCGGTGCAGCGGCAGCGGGAGGTCCCATTAGCTAAAGTGGTACATCAGGTTAAGAACAGTTTCAGGTTAAGAACGGACCTCCAGAACGAATTAAGTTCTTAACCCGAGGTACCACTGTAATATGTTGAGTACATAAGAAAGAACTGTGCTTAATTCTGTTAAAATTTAGATACCATCTCTTGCCAAACAAGAACTCATGCTTCAAAGTCCAGTTTATGCAAACATGTTATTCTTTAAGCCTTTTCTAGCTGAAAACAAGGTCAAAGGAACTGGTCTCCTGTTACTGAGGGCCCCTGCAGACAGGAATTTTAGTCTGTATTCAAGGTGATTTGTGCTCTTGTGGGTATCAGGATGGTCATATGTGATCTTGCATTCAGGGCAGTTCACACCATCAAAACACTAAGGATCACACAGCATCTGTTATGAGTTTTGCGTGGCCCATAGCTTCCCTACCACCCAAACGTTACTTTTCAGATCACAAATGTTCTAGGTGTTTTTTAATCCAACATTTATAGTACTGCAGTGCTCGGCTACTCTGGCAATGCACAGACTTAAATTTGCTTCTTGGTGATGTCACTACTTTCACATACTTCCTATTGATGCCGTTTTAGTGGAAACAACTGAACTTTTAGCACAACAGTCACATAGAATCATAGAATCTTAGAGTTGGAAGGGACCCAAGGGTCATCTAGTCCAACCCTCTGCAATGCAGGAATCTCAGCTAAAGCATCCATGACAGATGGCCATCCAACCTCTGCTTAAAAACCTCCATGAAAGGAGACTCCACCATCATCTTTATAATCTTTTTTTAAGGGGATAAGGTTGCACTAAAGTGGGATGCCACAACGCTGTGAGGAATACAGGCTCATTCACTTCTACTGTTAGATCAGCTGGCATTTACTGAGCTGGAAAGGAGAGGTGGAAAGGAGGGGGATTGTGTGTGAGAGGTGTGTAGGACCCTGTTACTGACCTTAACAGATTGGAGAACTGGGCCCAAACTAACAAATGAATTTCAATAGGAACAAATACAATGTTCTATATTTTGTTTATAATTTTCACATTTACAAATTTTCCACATTCACGTTCACCATACAAAAAGAAGAAGAAGAAGAGAGGAGTTTGGATTTGATATCCCGCCTTTCACTCCCTTTAAGGAGCCTCAAAGCGGCTAACATTCTCCTTTCCCTTCCTCCCCACAACAAACACTCTGTGAGGTGAGTGAGAGTCTTCAAAGAAGTGTGACTGGCCCAAGGTCACCCAGCAGCTGCATGTGGAGGAGCGGAGACGCAAACCCGGTTCCCCAGATTATGAGACTACCACTACACCACACTGGCTCTCACAAGTGACTACACAAGGTTTTACACTTAGGCAGGAAGAACCAGATGCACAGATATAAGATGGCTTTCCAGTGGTACATGTGAAAACAATCTAGGGGTCTTAGTAAACCACAAGCTTAGCATGAGTCAACAGTGTGATGCAACAGCTTTGAGTTAATGGAATGGAAGCAAATGCTATCAGCCCAGCCTACACACCTTCCTCTGTGTTGATTTATGAGAGATGGCACATAAATCAGTCATCTATGCTTTCTTTACCTTGCAGGTATGAAGCTTGTAAAAATGACTTCACTTGTGTTAGCAACTGGCTGACAGACTGGGCAATTGATGAAAAAGGAGAAAACCACTGTAAGAACGCGTGCATCCCCTACCACGAGGTAGTGTATCATAATGATCCACAAACAGTGCACCTATGTGAAGGAGCCAGAAGGCTACATATAGCTCTGCATTTAACACCAGGGATCTAGTCTAGTAGATGTTCCTTCAACAAGAAAAAACTCACCTACTCAAACCCCACCGGTATTCCAATGTCCTTTAGTATAACTTGTGCACAGTAGTAGAGTAGTAAAAATTAACATTTGGCAAGATGGAAAGGGGCCGTGTATCTCAGCTGGAGATGACTTGGGTGACATCCACACCATACACTTAAAGAACATGGCTTCCCCCAAAGAATCTTGGGAATTGTAGTTTAAGGGTGGTGAGAATCAAAATTATGTGAGGGGTAAACTACAGTTCCCACGATTCTTTATTTAAAGTGTGCTTCACATGCAAAAATGTCCATACTTCAGTTCCTGGTTAAAAGGATCAGGCTAACTAGTGATAGGAAAAACCTCTGAGAGCCAGGACATGGGTAGGCAAACTAAGGCCCAGGGGCCAAATCCAGCCTAATCACCTTCAAAATCGGAATCAGCGTGTTTTTACATGAGTAGAATGTGTCCTTTTATTTAAAATGCATCTCTGGGTTATTTGTGGGGCCTGCCTGGTGTTTTTACATGAGTAGAATGTGTGTTTTTATTTAAAACGCATCTCTGGGTTATTTGTGGGGCATAGGAATTCGTTCATTATTTTTTTTCAAAATATACTCCAGCCCCCGACAAGGTCTGAGGGATAGTGGACCGGCCCCCTGCTGAAAAAGTTTGTTGACCCCTGGCCTAGAGAGCAATTGCCAGTCAGAGCAGGTTTAAAAAATGGGCAAGATGGAAACACTGTATAAGCCAGCTTCCTATGTTCTTGTGGAAGCAAAGAAAATTGAGATTTCTGTTTAAGTTGGCTCACAGCTAAAAATAAAAGTGACTAAGATCCAAAAGGAATAGAGCTGGACAGCGCACTGAGGGAAGAGGATTTGTCTTTTTATTTCCATTGCTTTTAGCTCATACAGTAAAGCAATCAGCTGCCCCCCCCCCCATTTGTACAAATGGCAGAAAGGAGCAGTGGAGGGCGAGTGCTATGTGCCCTACATGGGCTGTTGTTAATCTTGGACCAAGCTTTTCCAAGCATGCCGTAGTAGAAAGATCTAGAGCAGGAGGAACATGTGGCCCAATTTTGCAAAGCTTGTGTGTCATCAAGAGCCATTTCATTTTGTGTCTATTGCATTGGATGTCGTAAATTTAGACAGTTTTGTTTCTCTGACTCCTAGATGTATGGCAATGGGACAGACATGTGCGAGAGCATGTGGGGAGATTCACTGAAGGTAAGTGACTCCCCCTGCCTGTGCCTGCAAATGGATGAGATGGATAGCAAGGTCGTCAAGCTCTTGGAGGAGAGGGCCACCGGTAATAGTAGCAGTAGCAGCAGAAGTGATGAAGAGCAGTTCTGTCGCCTCAAGTTGGACAAAATAAAGAAGCTGAAGGAGCCGAAAGACGAAGGTGTGGAGACATTCTAAGTGCCAGGGTTTCTTTAGGTTTTAAAGTGATGCATGTTGCACCTTTCCACTATTAAAACAATACTCAAGGTGGCCATCAGCCACACACACAAAAATACAATAAAGTGACTGAACAATTAAAATAGCTTAAAAAAATTAAAAGCCTGAAAAGTAAACAGTGTGGCAGATAATGAAAGCATCAACCACCATTAAAAATGCCATGGCTAACCGAAAGCCTACCTCAAGAAAATGGCCTTCACTTGGTGGCAGAAGCTAAAATGAGAGGGAGTCAAACAAACCTCCACAGGAGAGAGTTCCATCACAGGGGGCTGGCACAGAAAAGACCCTGTCATCAGTCAATTTCAGGATCCACAAAGGGGCCTTTTCACCAGATCTCAGAGTGCGGGCAAAATGGCATGGGAGGGTGGCAGTCCATAGGCATCCTGGGCCTGAGTCATTTAGGGCTTCATTTGTGATAACACTTTGAATTGTCTAGATGTTGCTGGACTACAACTCCCATCATTACTGACTGCCTGGGGTGATAAAAGATGTAGTCCAACTACATTTGGAGGGCACCATGTTGACTGCTGTAGATAGTTGCTGAAGCCACTGCTGTAGCTAGTTGGGTGCTGACTCTAGTGTGATTATTTCAGTTCGTCCTGCTCTCTCCATTTGGGAGAGTAGGCCACTTAATCAGTGTTCTTCAGCCTAGGGTCCACAGATGTTGTTGGACTTCTAACTCCCATCATCTCTGACCCCAGCTGGCTGGGGATATGGAAGCTGAAGTCCAACAACATCGGGATACAAGATTACATCATGCTGAAAGGCAACATAAATCAGCTGCTGGCTTAATCCCTTCACTCATTTACTTACACAGTGCATAATAGAATTACAAAGCTAGTTAATGAATACACAAGTGAGCAAGGAAGCAGTGCACCTGCAAATCCTAATGAATTGCAGAATTGTATTATTAGGTTCTTTCAGAATCCACTTCCAGCTCTGTTTAGCTGTATCCGTACTGAGCGGGTTTCCATGGCAACCAGACCTAACTGCACTCTTCACTAATCTGGTCTCAGCCTCCTAGCAGCCCTACAAAAGGAAGTGGGATAAAGCTCCAGGCTGGAGATATCGGCAGTTTTAACAATTCCTGCCTGTTACCTTTGCCATATGTCACTTGATTTGAACTCTGGAGTTCTGCTTGCCTTCATTGATTAGATACTTAGCAACAACTGAAGTCAAACCCACACCATACATTTATCCCAAAGACCCCTGGGAACTGCAGTTTGTTGGGTGTTGATGATGATGACCCCCCAAGAGCTAAATTCCCAGCACTATTAACAACTTACAAAACATGACCTCTGACTAACATAGTTTAAAAAACGTTATATTGTCATTTTTCACAATAGAAGGACATAAGCAGTGAAAATAATTGTAAATAATAATAATAAGGATAAGGATACAGAAGGGAGGGAGGGAGAAAACCAAGAAAAAATGAGTGTGGAATTCAACATTACCATAATGGCTGCTCTTAGGTCTGCAAGGGGTGGAATGGATGAAGTAATGATGGCCCTCTAGTTCCTTAGATAAAAACAAGAAAATAGAAGAGCAATTGAAGACTTAACTAAGCATGAAATAAGTCAAAAACCTTAGGTAACAGTACCCTTCCAAAAGGCAATATGAGAAGCCCAGTATTACATGCACCTCTATTAATATTTGTGAAAAAGGATATCGGGTCTCTCTAGCTTTGACCATGGACAATTTTTGAACCTGCTGGGTGTCTTCTAAAAACCTTCCTGCTCCAGAATTAATATTGGGATCTACCTGATCACCCCCAGGATTTTCAGTTATTGATATGAGAGTCAATAGAACTCAGGATACTATACAGGAGCCTGCTACTGTTAGGAGGGACCAGAGTGGGCAAAGAATGCCCTAGCAGTAGCCAGTGCTTGCTCCAGATTTGAGAAGGCCCTGGCCAGTGTCCTCTGGTGGGCCCTCTTGCCATAGATTTAAAGAATTGTAGAGTTGGAAGGGACCCTATCTAGTCCACACCCCCCTGCAATGCAGGAATCTTAACTAGATCATACATGACAGGTGGCCATCCAACCGCTGCTTAAAAACCTCCAGTGAAGGAGAGCCCACGACCTCTGGTAGCAGTCTTTTCCCACAGGCAAACAGCTCTTACTGTCACAAAGTTCTTCCTGATGTTTAGTTGGAATCTCCTTTCTTGTAACTTGAATCAATTGGTCCAGGTCCTAGTCTCCGAAGCAGGAGAAAACAAGTCTTCTCCATCCTCCATGATATCCTTTAGATATTTGAAGATGGCTATCATATCTCCTCTCAGTCTCCTCTGGACCAGGCTAAACATGCTCAGTTCCCTCAACCATTTCTCATAAGGTCATCTTACACGTTACAGGCAATACTTAGAACTACAGGTATGTGGAACCGGGTCTAGTAGCTTCAACTGATGGCCATAATGAAATAACTGGCTCTTAACTATTGGAGGAAATATTTTTGTTCTGAGGGAAACATTGACAAAACTTCTGTCAAATCTTGCTGGCTATTTTGTGACACTAAAGCTGGTCCCAGTGAAGGCATTGCTCAATTGTGGATTTTGATTGTTTTCCCAATAAATCAGTACAGTTTCCTCTCCTTTTTGTGTGTGCACATATTTTTTTCTTTCACTCCTCTGCAGCTCTTGCAGTGGGGGACCACACCCTTTAACTTCTGAGCCCTGCTGTGTCCCTGGTCTACCCCAACTATGGAACGGACACATTGAATCCTTGGCAAATTAAGCTTTTGAGTCTCCTCTCACTCAACACAGCTGTGATCAATTAATTACACAGACTCTAGAGTTAATTTCCTTGTTAAGCCATTTTCCTTCTCAAGAAGGTGATTGTCCCCAAGGGGGAAATGAAATGTACTGTAACTAGCATAATGTAACACTGAGGTTTTACAAGCAGCGCTCGGGATGTTTACTCATAAAAACTAGCTGCCTCAGTGGATTGTATCCAGGCTTAAGAGTTTAAACAACACTGTTCTCAGCTATACATATCAAATGTAAAACTCCTATAACATAGGAGGAAGATTTTGTAGGGGCTCTGTCAAGCACAGCTTTTATGTCAGTCCTACAGGAGCTGGAAGAGCTGCACGTGGAGCCTCCTTTCCCTCTGTAGTTTTGTTGTACAATTATGCTCCCATGTGCAGTTTTAGGGTTGGGTTAGACATATCCCATTTCACTGTTCTTGTCCTGACAGTAATGCCCCACCCCAGGTTCTCTATAACGGGGATAGGGAATCTGCAGCTTCCAGATGCTGCTAGACTCCAACTCTCATCGACTCCAACCTGCATAGCCAAAGATCAGGAATGGTGGGTGTTGTAGACCAACAACATCTGGAGGGCCACAGGTTCCCCACTCCTTCTGTAAAAGATATAATTTTAGTAGATGCAGCCTATGTAACATTGCTGCAGAAATCAGAAACACTCACTGTTCTTTCAGTTTTTAATAATTTTATCAGGGATGGCTATTAACCAAGTCATAGGCCACTTGGTTCCCAAATCAATTTATTTATCTTCTGGCAATCCTGCCAAATAAAGGTATGGTAAAAAGTTTTCTGATCGAAACTAAAGTTGTTCTTAAAACATTCTAACAAAGAAAGTATCCACATTGTAATACTACATCTCTCCTTGTATGGGGTGCCCCAGCCATGAGCTTGCAACTGCAAACCCCTCTTATTGCTTGATAACATGTGATGAAGTCAGTGTGTGTGGCAAAATACACTTGTGTGTGACAGTAGCTCCCAACAACAAAGAAACTGGTCACCCCTGCACAGAAAACTTCAAAATGTAAAACATGGAGCTACGTTTTCTGTATAGTCTGCAACTTTTGAGAACTTTAATTTCAGAGAGGCAATCTGGAAACCTCAGTACATCAGCAAATCTTTTTACTGGTGACTCAAATTCTAAACAAATGATGTCACCGGAAAATCCATTGTATGCTTTAAGAGAATGTGTTTCCCAAAGTTGCCTATGTCCCTTTGAGAAAATTAGTGAGAGAAATATTGAACATTCCAATAAGTAAAAATTTCAGAAGAGGGAAAAGCAAAGGATTTAAAGGCAGGAATTGCTAAGCAAAAATTGTTATAAATGAATAGTAAAAGTGTTTCTGGTATCAGCATGTAAATCTGGAGCAAAAAACTGCATTAGGTGCAGCCTGTCATTCACCTGGTATGTTTTTGCACTGACCAATTTTATAAATCCTGTCTTATGAACCTCATACTAGGTGGGAACTAAACAGAAGAGTCCCCACCCCTTCTATTCTGCTGTGACATTTTCCCCGGTATTCTGACCCATTATGCTACAAAGCTAAATAATTGGAATAGGTTTTTTTTAGTAGATTAGCTACAAAACCTTAATAATGGAAGCAAATATCATTACGGGCCACTTCCACAATTGTTAACCCTCCTCCTATATTAATCACTGTATTTAAAACATGTTGTAGTTGTGCCCCCTGCTGGAAGCATCCACCTCCTGTTGTATTACTTGGAGAAATGTTAAGGATTCCCTCCTACTGGGATGATTTGTGGTCTCCATTATCAAACCCCAGGAACTGTAAACGTGGTGTTAGGTTATCAAACCCTCGAGAGTCAAGTTTCAAACAGTTCCAATCAGACTCTATTGCAATTGATCCATGTGCATTTCAAAGGAGCATGATCTTGTGCATTTCAAAACTGGTTAAACCACTTACTTTAAACCAGGGGCGGGGGAATCTGTGGCCCTCCAGATGATTTTGGACCCCACCTAGCCCCAGCCAGCATGGCCAATGGTAAGATATTATGGGAACTGTTGTCCAACAAAATCTGGAGAGCCACAAGTTCCTGATCTCTCTATTAAACAGCACTGCCTGATAATATGTCCAAGTGATATGAACATCTGTGGTGACGTGTGAAAAAATAAATCTTAATCTAATAGTATTTCAGTATTTAAGAGTGCATTTCTGCATATGATAATGTTTGTATTTGCTAGTTAGGAAAAGAGGCCAACTATAGAAACAGTGGTGCAACATTATTTCAAGTACGAAGTTGAAGCCATTATAAGTAAGGGAACTTTACCCTCTCTTAACACTTGTAAGGCTTACAAGAGCTGCCATTTTCCTGCAAGCCCTGTCTTCTAAATAGGTTAAATTATACAGTATACAAATTTATCTCATTTTTCATTTTAAAAATGCAAATGTTTCTTCTCTTCAGCATCATGACTCCTGAAGTGACCAGATTGCTTGGCAGTAGGTCTGGTGTATCATGATTGAAGTAGTATTACTGCCAGGTGTAACAGCAAACAATGCTCACTCACTCCAATCAAGGTGCATAGTTAGCCACAGGAATCAGGTGAGGTGAAAGCATGACAAATCATCCACATACACCCCCAAAACCACTGAACTTTCGCACCATTAGTAACTGCAGATATATCATATATTTTTACTTCCTGAATTTTCTGCAAGTGGAAATCCAGACTAAATGTAAAAAATAATAATAGTAGTATGGGCTGGCATTATGATGGTGACATGTGGAACATGAGAAAAATGTGTGAGCACGTGCACAAGCAGCACCAATTCCATAATGAAGAAAATAAGGATTGCCACTTGCGGTGCAGTATATGTGGAAAATATCTTGGTGTGTGCATTGTTCTCAGGCAAGCATACCACAGGAAAAATGCATACCAAATGCTAGGAGAATGGGAAGGCCAAAAATAAAGGGGGTGGGGGCAAAGCTAACATCCCTTGAGAAACACGGGGATTCTTTGGTGTCCAAAAAGAGCTCTCATTTTAAGATAGAGAAAGGGGTTGACAAAATAAGGCAGAACTCTGCTCTGAAGCTGAGTGGGCGAGGCATGGGACTTAACAATGGTGTCATGGGGGGCACCTGGTTGCGCCCCTCAGAAGTGTGCGCCGCGGGCAATCGCCCCCCTCGCCCCGCCCACGCTACTGTTCTGCTATTATGGGATATATTGGACTTGGGGAGGGCAGAGTAACCCTACCACTCGACTTTCAGCGCCACGACCATAAAAAAACGCCTCGGGCTGCTGCTCCTGATTTGATGGCTGTCACTCAGCTTTCCCGGTCCCAGCCAGTAGGGAGGCCGACCCCCCGCCCACATTCCTGCGGCTGAAGGGCGGGCAGCGGCAGCAGCGAGCCCGGCTTTGCGAGGCTCATCCTGCCTCGCTAACAAATGGATGTGTCTTTTTCGCGCGCGCAGCGTTCTCTCCCGCGCATCCTCTCTTCGACCCTCTCCCTCTATTACGGGCAAAGGCCTTCACAGTCTATAATGCGCAAGCGCCAAGAGTCGCCGTCCCGGAGAGCGTTGAATGGACGCTTCTTCACAGCTTTCTCTGGTGCCGGAAAGGCCGGGAGGGGGAGCGGGGCGGCCGGACGCAAAAGTTGTTGGGAAATCGGGGAAGGACCATGAATGGCTGAGTGGAAAAGAAGAAGAAGGTAGTGTCTAGAGTCCGTTGCGCGCAAATGAGCACGCGAGGCAATCCCGTGTTTTGATAGTTCACAGTCCCCGCCTCCCGCCCCGACTGTTAATTTTAAGTATTGGATGCAATAGATTTATTAAGTTCTCGCGCTGCATCAGCCTTCCCTTGTTTTAGACCTGAGTGCCGATTAGCTTAATTCGAACTGTAGTTGAGCATAGGGACATAGAAACAGAAGCTTGTCTCTGAGCGTGTGCAAAGTGCCAATTCCATTAATATTGTGCTCCCTTACCGAGCGTCCGTTTCAGTAATGCCACCCAGACCGCTTCTTCTTTTCCTAATTCCGTATTCCTGTTCTGATTGTCGTGCTGAGGATGTGACAAGGTCTCAATCTATTTTCCTGGAGTGATGCAGGTAAAATGAATAGAGATTTCATTCTCAGGCCTTCTTAGTACTGTACCTCAACAGATACGGTTGTTTGTGTTATGCCTGTCATGTTCCATTTGGTGAAATTAGATTAGGGCTGCACCCCTAAACAGGCTTATTTGGAAATAAATCCGATTGAAATCAACAGGATTTATTACCTGTGGGGACCAAAACTGAAATCCGGGCTGATCAGACCCCGAAGCATCCTTAGTTTATTAAAGGGGGGAAATGTTATTGTCACTCAAAATTATGTTCATTACTAACCCTGTCATTAGATCTTTAATTTTCAAAGGGTTTCTTGTCCTTCCTAGATCATCACTGGGGGATGATGGGCATCACTCACTCCATTTCTCTGTGATCCTGCCATGGCTTGTGTGCCTTGTTCCAACGCCAGCGAATTCCCCTTCTTGGCAGACAGGCATGCTCGTCTTATACTGGCCCAGATCAGCAAGATGAGATGTGGGCAGCACTTCTGTGATGTGCAGCTCCAGGTTGGTGAAGAAGTATTTAAAGTCCACCGGCTTGTCTTGGCTGCAAGCAGTCCTTATTTTGCAGCTCTGTTTGCAGGAGGGATGAAAGAGTCTTCAAAGGATGTTGTACGGATCCTAGGTGTGGAGGCTGACATCTTTCAGATCCTGCTGGACTTTATTTACACAGGTAGACTCCATTTCTAAAACATTTTTGAGACCATGTTATGCTTTTTGGCAATGCCTTGGTATCCTGGAGCTTGTGAATCAAATGTATGTGCCGTTTTATAAC